CCTCCAGAACATGGCCATATAGCCCGGAAAAACCTACAACAACCCTGTGATTCCGGCCATGAAAGCCTTCGACAATACAATGTAATAAGCCATGGTTGGTGCTGGCTACTTATTCCAAAAACTGCATGACAGACAGGCCATGACTTATTCTCACTTCTGTTTTGTTTTTCTCTAGTCCTTTTGTAAGCTCAGTTAGAGAATAAGGCCAGGAACAAGTCCTGGTTGTAAGTGTGGATACTGTAAAAAGAAAGAGGGTAAAAAGGAATAGCTTAAACTAAGAAGTTCAGGTCGTGGTATGGGAATAGTTAACAAGTTGTGGCTTGTTAACTGTAATGTCTAAAACATAAAACATCAGTTCTGATTCACACTTGTACATCAGTATCATATAAAGCCAATGAAAGTGACTCAACTGTTTGTACTACTTGTGCATTGCAACACAAACTTTTTACTTTTTTAGTTTAAATAAAAAGTTTGAATACAACAGTTTCTAATTTGTTTCGGTATATACAAGATTTGCCAATGTGTTTATATTCTAAACATATGACTAGGAGATTCGATCTTGACAAAAGATAAAAGTAGAAGTAAAAATGGACTTCTATTAAAGGTTCTCAATACTTCTTCCAATCTAATGAGCACCCACTAAAATTCTATAATGCTACATAATTGCTTTGCAAAATACATGACAGCTCTGCAAGTTCTGTAATCATGTACAACTTGATATTACAGTTCATGCATAAATGTTTGATTCAATCTAAATGAGCCCTTATTCTAAATATTTTAATGTCAAAGCAACCACCTGCAGTATCAAAACATATTAACTAAATCTCTTGCCATTCATGTATTTTAAAAGTGGCAGGTTTTTTTTTCAGATCAGGAAATCCGTTCCTGAAATAAATTACTTTCTTATAGTTCTACTAACCCTATTGTCTGCATGTAAGACCAATTTATGGCCGCAACTTGACACTTAACTGGGACAACACTCTATATATTTTATTCCAAGCATTTATTTGCTAAGACCTGTTACAAAATATGAAAAAAAATCCTGTTTAACTAGGTTTTGAATGACACCATGGCCAGATTCTTCTGAGTTTTGCAACAAGCTTAAATCCTATAACTTATTTTTTCTCAGACACGTGGGATTTTATTTATGAAAAGCTTCTGTAATTGTGTCAGATAAACCTAGTGTTTAGGCCTATAAACCTGCTAAATGGTTTACCCTTGAGCCCCAGTGGGTTTAAAGACCTATACACTAGGTATGTCTTATATAATTACAGAGTTTCAGAGTTTGCCAGCCTACGAAGCAAACTTACTTAGGAATTCTACCACAGTCCATTTTACAGGTGTATTCATTTAGGCATAGAACTAGACAATGCTTTAATCCTAAACATATATGCTTAAAATCTGTCTGCATAAATACACCTAGGCCAGTGCTACACACCAAAGTTAAGTAATTCTCTCTTTAGCGAAACACAATGTTTTTTCAGGTACCAGGCTGAGACCAATCCCAGTTCTGTCACCACTTTCCTACAGCTGAACATACCAATTGAACCTTATAGATGTAAAGCTCTCCTCCTAAGCTATATCCAGGTAATCATACTGAAAGCACTATCTAGTGTTATAATGTGCATTCTTCAAAATGCTAGCTGTATGAATAAAACGTTAGAATAAAAGAAACAAGAATAAAAGAAACAGCATGATTTCTCCAAGATTTAAAAGTGGATGTAATAAATAATATTCATCCCAGCACCTTGACAATCCCTCTGTTTTGATAAAATGTCATTCAGAACATTCACATACATACAGTTCAACAGCCGTATTTCCAAAAAATGACACATAGGCATAAGCTTTATATTCAATAGAAAGGAGATGGTTTTACAAAATTACCTAACAGATTGGCAAAAATTGTCATTTTTTGGTCTTGCCTAAAATTATTTGAAACAAGTTAATCATTTCATAAGACTACTAAGGGCCCTTCCACACAGCCATATAACCCAGAGTACCAAGGCAGAAAATCCCACAATATCTGCTTTGAACTGGGTTATCTGAGTCCACACTGCCATATATTCCAGTTCAAAGCAGAAAATGTGGGATTTTATTTAGCTGTGTGGAAGAGGCCTATGAGATTGTGGTTGTTCCATCTTCTGATTTCAGAATGAAATTATTCTGATTTTTGCCCTCAAAGTTGTAGTTTAATTTATTCAAAAAACTCAAGAGGGGTAATAGCATTTCTAACTGCTACAAGTTCACACCACTCCCTACACCTAATTGAGCCAGTCTGTAAATAACAACAATTCCTGCCAAAAATGGCCAGATTTATTCTCTCAACATTTATGGAACCTTGTGCTAGTCAATGCTGAAGTACAATTTTGTAACAGGGATGTTTCATTGTATTATGACAGCTACCCTTCAAGAGCTCTGGCTAAATTCAAAATGCCACTTCAATTTCAAAATTTTCAGTACTGTCCTGCCAATTAAACACCCCATTGTGTAAACAATAATAATAATAATAATAATAATAATAATAATAATAATAAACAGCTTTTCCCAACTATAGATAAACTGAAGCCCCTTCCACACAACTGAATAAAATTTCACATTTCCTGCTTTGAACTGGGATATATGGAGTGTGGACTCAAGATAACCCAGTTATATTGTGGGATTTTCTGCCTTGATATTTTGTGTTATATGGCTGTGTGGAAGGACCATGGGATATATGGCAGTATTGACTGACGACCCTTCCAGACAGGCACTATAACTCAGGATCTGATCCAAGGTTTTCTGCTTTAAACTGGATTATATGACTCTCCACTGCCAGATAATCTGGGATAAACAGAAAACCTGGGATCAGATCCTGGGATATAGGATCTGTCAGGAAGATACCTCAGATAACCCAGTTCAAAGTAGATTTTGTGGGTTATTCTGCCTTGATATTCTGGGTTATATGGCTGTGTGCAAGGGCCTTGAGGATTGAAGCAACAAATATTCAGCTCACGGAAACTTCTCAGCACTTGGCAGGGAATTATTATTACCTCTCAAGAAGAGGTTCGAACCAACGGGAACTGCCTTTTAATTCACGCAGAATGCAACACACAGATTTCAATGTGGTATTCACAAAATACAACACTTGAAATGTCAGGAGAATTAGTGTAGAAAACGCCCCTAGCTGTGCTCCTGGATGACACATCAAAGGGCGTTGGTGCAAAATGCCACCACTACGACTCTGCATGGGAGGAGGAGGAGAGTAGGCTCCGGAGGGGCAACATTCAAAGCAGGAAGAGGCAGGGGCGTGTGTGTAATGTGGGGGTGGGTGCCTGTCGTGGGGGATTGGGGAAGACAACGCCTAAAATACAGGAGGAAGCGTGTGAGGCTCTGATCCTCCTCCCAGCCTTATTATTATACAAGCCAAGAACATCCATGTATCCATCCATCCACCCGCATCTTGGGCCTGGCGCACACAACACAGGGAAAGGCAGGGAAGCAGCTTCCCGGAAGCCTGTCTCATATGAGCCTGTCACAGTTGCGACACAGAAGAAGGGATTTGGGAGGTGAGCGTTAGAAACAGACTCAGGGCCCTTCCACACAGCCCTAATATCATAGAATATCAAGGAAGAAAATCCCACAATATCTGCTTTGAACTGGGTTATCAGATAATGTGGGATTTTCTGCTTTGATATTCTGGGATATAGGGCTGTGTGGAAGGGCCCTCAGAACCGTCAGCATTGCAATGGATGTGATATCCTTTTCCACTATGCTCGATCAGAATCTCAATGGGCTGTGTGGAAGGGCCCTGAGTGGTATGTGAGGGGCCTTCCACATAGCCCTATACCCCAGAATATCAAGGCAGAAAATCCCACAGTATCTGCTTTTAACTGGGTTATCTGAGTACACCCTCAGATAATGTGGGATTTTCTGCTTTGATATTCTGGGATATGGGGCTGTGTGGAAGGGCTCTGAGTGGCAGAGGCTTCTTCTTTGGAGGCTTTTAAGCAGAGGCTGGATGGCCATCTGTTGGGGTGCTCTGAATGGCTTTTCCTGCTTCTTGACAGGGGGTTGGACTGGATGGCCAACTCAATGATTCTACTTTGGAAATGACGGCGATATGGATGGGAAAATATCAACGAGAAAAGGTGTTTTTGTTGGCTCTTCTGGGCCCCTTCAACACTGCCATACGATCCTGATTATGGAAGCAGATAATCCACATTATCTCCTTTGAATTGGATTATGTGAGTCTACACTGCCCTATAATCCAGATTATCGAAACAGACAATCCACGGGATCTGCTTCGAACTGGATTATACAGTATGAGCCCACACTGCCATATAACCCAGTTCAAAGAAGAGAATTTGGATTTTGTATGGCAGTGTAGATGGCGCCCTGGAAGCCTGCGAAGGGAGGCTGAATGAAGGCCCTTCCACACAGCCCTATATCCCAGAATATCAAGGCAGAAAATCCTACATTATCTGAGTGTGGACTCAGATAACTCAGTTCCAAGCAGATATTGTGGGATTTTCTGCCTTGATATTCTGGGATACAGGGCTGTGTGGAAGGGCCCTGAGAATGTATTTTTGTCTCTCTGGTGGAAAAGGCATATGCATGTAATCCCTGCAGAGAGAGAGAGAGAGAGAGAGGCAAGGCGCCAGTCCGACTCTCAGCTGAGAGAAGGGCAGGCGGAGAGACGACGCCATGCGGAAGGGGAGGGAAAGCGAGGCAGGCCTCCCCAGCCCCCGACTGGCTGGCTGGCAGGCAGGCTGACCGGGAGCCTGGGCCCGAGGAGGCGGAGGAGGAGGCCGCGAGGAGGGAAGCGCCAGCAAGATGGCGACGCCTCGTTCCGTTTCCCCGCTCGGAGCCTCCCCAGCGGCGACGGGCCCAGGCCTCCTTTTACAGGCCTCGGGGGAAGCCGCCCTCGATTTCCTCACAGCTCCCGGGGAGAAGAAGGCCCTCCCTCCTCTCCTCCCCCCCCCCCCCCCCCGAGAGGAGGCTTCATCTCCCTCACGGCGTACCTTTGAATTTGAGGTCGGTGGGCGGATCGAGCACCAGGATCTGGTCGTGCTTGGCCAGAGCCCCCGCGGCCGCCATCGCTGCTGCTCACACGTTCGCCTCAGTCCGGGAGCGGGAGGAGGAGGAGGAGGGCGCTCCGGTCGGGGAAAAGGAGGGGAGGGACGGAGAGGAGGAGGCGGAAGACGCGTAATAGGAGCACGCGCGCTCTCGTCAAGGCAAGCAGGCGGGTGTGCGCGCGCGCGCGCTCTCAGGGGCCCGCCTCAGCCTATGAGAATGCTTGTCATCTCTCTCCAATGGCACGGAGGGGCAAGCGGCCGGCTTAAGTTCTAAAAATTCTCGTTTCTCCGTCTTGCGAGAGAGAGAGAGCGCGCGCGCAGCTGCGAGACGCCGCGAGAGAGAGTCGTCTTCGCCGCTCTCGACACACGCAGGCGTGCGCGCGCGCGCGTTCCTTCCTGAGTGCCGCGAGACCGTCATTGACAGCTCGCCTCTCTCTCTCTCACTCTCTCTTTCACAACACCAGAGATGCGCGCGAGCCGGGTAGAGCGAGAGAGTGAGAGAGAGAAGAGCGCGCGCCGCTGTTTCGTGTCACGCGCGTCCTGGAGGGAGGAAGGAAAGGGAGAGATGGAAGTACAGGGAACACAAGAGCCCCCGGTGGCGCAGTGGGTTAAACCCCTGTGCTGGCCGAACTCAAGACCGATAGGTCGCAGGTTCGAATCCGGGGAGAGGCTCCACCTCTTCATATGGCTTGAATCCGTCTGTCAGCTCTAACTCGCCATGTGGGGACATGAGAGAAGCCTCCCACAAGGATGATTAAAAACATCAAATCATCCCGGGCGTCCCCTGGACAACGTCCTTGCAGACGGGCCAATTCTCTCACACCAGAAGCGACTTGCAGTTTCTCAAGTCGCTCCTGACACGACAAAAAAAAAGGGAACACAAGACATTTGAATCCCTGTCAGGAGGGAAGATTGACAGGCCGGAAAGAGAAGGCGGGGATAGTGAGAGGGGATAGTGAGGTGCTTAAGTCAAAGTGGAAAAGAAAGGGAATTCGAGACCTATTCGACGTCGCCACAGTGAAGGGGGAAGCAGGAGGACTACGACTCCCAGGATGCAGCGCGCGAGCCCGCTCCCCAATTCTGCGGTCGGCGGGGGGGGCAGGGCATGCTGGGAATTGTAGTCTCGAGGGAGGATGGGAGAAGGTGGGCGTTTCCCCCCTCAGGTTTAGCACCCTTTGTGAAAGGAGAGGACAGGGTTAAAGCCTTGCCTTTCATTCCAAACTGGACAAGCGTTTCAGGCTGTCAAAAATCAGAAATAATCCGGTGTACAAAAATGCTCAAAATGCATCATGCAAGCTTTCGAAGATCTCCTGATTTTTTGTATAACTGTGATTGCTTACAGCAGCGTTTCTCAACCTGGGGGTCGCGAGGGGGTGTCAGAGGGGTCGCCAAAGACCAGCAGAAAACGCAGTATTTTCTATTGTTGATGGGAGTTTTCTATTGTTGATGTAGTTGCTGGGATTTATAGTTCACCTACAATCAAAGAGCATTCTGAACCCCACCAAAGATAAATTCTATCTTTGGTGGGATTCAGAATGCTCTTTGYTTGTAGGTGAACTGTGAATCCCAGCAACTACAACTCCCAAATGTCAACGACCATTTTCCTCAAACTCCACCAGTATTCACATTTGGGTATTATTGAGTATTCATGCCAAGTTTGGTCCAGATCCATCAATGTTTACTCTCTCGATACAGTTGAACTACAACTCCAAAACTCAAGGTCAATGCCCACCAAACCCTTCCAGTATTTTCTGTTGGTCATGGGAGTTTGTGTACCAAGTTTGGTTCAGTTTCGTCATTGGTGAAGTTCAAAATGCTCTTTGATTGCAAGTTACCCAGCAACTACAACTCCCCAGTGACCAAATCAATTCCCCCTAACCTCACCAATATTCTTTTGGGGTGCATCAGGTATTTGTGCCAAATTTGGTCCAGTGAATGAAAATATATCCTGCATATCAGATATTGACATTACAATTCATTCCCGCAGAAAATTACAGTTATGAGTAGCAATTAAAATAATTGTATAGTTGGGGCTCACCACAACACGAGGAACTGTATTAAGGGGTCACAACATTAGGAAGGTTGAGAACCACTGGCTTGTAGTGTATTGGCAAACAAGACGAGTGGGATTTCAGACATCAAAGAGGGATGCTATCAATAATCATAACATGGGATCCCTCCCTGACAGTCATTTAGAGTTGTTTCCGACTCTTTGTGATCTCATATAATATACCTATAATAATAATAATAATAAAGCTTTATTTGTACCCCGCTCCATCTCCCCCAGGGGGACTTGGTGCGGCTTCCATGAGGCCACGCCCATCAATACAATATAAGCAATATAACACAAAACACAAGAAAACAAGCAAAATACATAAAATGCAAAATCAAAATAATATACAACACAACAATATAAAATCAAGCATTAAAAACACAGGAAATTTCACTAGGCAGGGCCAGATGCATGGATAAAATTATAGAAAATATTAAAAACACTGGGAGATAGGACAGTGTAACTTATAAGGAGGAGGCTCCGGGAATGAGGAAGGATTTCATTGCACAAACCATAAAATAAAGTGCGTCTAAGGACATTTTGTGCAAATTGTATGATCTGGGAGAATCTTACATTCAATTACTGAGGGCACATTGGAATAACCAGGTTTTCAAATCCCTCCTGAAGATTGCCAGTGTGGGGGCTTGTCTAATGTCTCTGGGGAGTGAGTTCCAGAGTCGGGGGGGCCACCACAGAGAAGACCCTCTCTCTCATCCCCGCAAGTCGCACTTGTGATGCAGGCAGGAGCAAAAGAAGGGCCTCTCCAGAAGATCGAAGGGATCATGTGGATTCGTAGATGGAAATACGGTCGCGCAGGTAAGAGGGTCCCAATATATTATATATACATATAATATTTATAATATTATAATGTAATCCAATATAATACTACTAATAATAATAATATGATATTATTATATATTTTATATTATGTGTAATATTATTAATAATATTACAGTACAATGGTATAGTACAATATTGTAATCTATAATACTGATATTGTGCTATGCTAATAATATCATGTATTGTTTGTATATATATCTTGTAAGCCACTCTGAGTCCCCTTCAGGGTGAGAAGGGCGGCATATAAATAAATAAATAAATAAATAAATATCTTGTGCAAATTTTAAATGACTGCCATGCTGACAAAAAGGGATCTGTGCCTGGTCGATATATCAGTTGTGTGTGTGTGTGTGTGTGTGTGTGTGTGTGTGTGTGTGAAGCCCACATAACAATCTTCAGACACTAGGTGGCAGTCCTATCCAACCAGCTCATAGGTAGTTAGCAGTTTAGACCAAGTTGAGGCCAGGACAACCAAGAAAGAAGACACAATAGGCTCTCTGTAAAATGGAACCCAAACTACTGTAACTCTCAAGCAACCAGCAAAATATATAGTTCAGTGCTGTATTCTCAAGGCTATTTGTATAATACAGTAAAACTCTTGTCACATTACATTTGTCTTTAGTTGCTTTTTGTTGAAGTATTTCAACATTAGTATCAAATCAGTAGAGTTCATAGAGCCCCCGGTGGTGCAGTGGGTTAAACCCCTGTGCCGGCAGGACTGAAGACCGACAGGTCGCAGGTTCGAGTCCGGGGAGAGGCGGATGAGCTCCCTCTATCAGCTCCAGCTCCTCATGCAGGGACATGAGAGAAGCCTCCCACAAGGATGATAAAAACATCAAATCATCCAGGCGTCCCCTGGGCAATATCCTTGCAGACAGCCAATTCTCTCACACCAGAAGCGACTTGCAGTTTCTCAAGTCACTCCTGACACGACAAAAAAAAAGTAGAGTTCATAACAGGCATGGGCAAACGACGGCCCTCCAGGTGTTTTGGACTTCAACTTAAGAGTCCAGGAATGTATTCTCTGTGGATTGTATTGTACTCATGACTTCTATAACTTAACCTATTGATTTCATTGGTCACACTTTTAAATTAATTAAATTTGAATATAGTCGAAGGCTTTCATGGCTGGAATCACTACACACTACATCAAGGACTCAGCCCACTTCATAGAAAAAATCAGCAATCTCAAGCTAAATACAAACGACAAACTGATCAGCTTCGATGTGGTATCTCTATTTACCATGGTCCCGGTAGCAGACACCATGGCACTCATCAACCAGAGGTTCCCAGAAGACATCACGGCCCTGTTTCACCATTGCCTTACCACCAGTTACTTTCAGTGGGACAATGAATTCTACGAACAGAAAGATGGAGTAGCTATGGGGAGCCCTCTCAGCCCGGTCATAGCTAACTTCTACATGGAACACTTTGAAGAACAAGCCCTGGAAACAGCAACTAAAAAGCCCACGATATGGTTCAGATATGTGGATGACACCTTCACCATTTGGAGCCATGGAGAAGAAGAACTCAACAGGTTCCTGGACCATCTTAACAGCATCCACCCAAACATCCAGTTCACCATGGAAAAGAAAATGAAGGAAGACTGCCTTTTCTAGATGTCCTAGTCATCCGCAAACCAGATCAACAATTGGGTCACACCGTTTACAGAAAACCCACACACACAGATAGATATCTACATAAAAACTCCAACCATCACCCAAGTCAAAAAAGAAGCACCATTAAAGCCTTGGCAGACCGTGCAAAAATAATCTGCGAACCCCACCTCCTCCAAGATGAACTGAACCACCTCAACTGGGCTCTACAGGCCAATGGATACTCCACCTCAGACATCAGAAGAGCTGCAAGACCAAGAACAAGCCACGGGAGTAAAGATGAAGATCCACCCAGAGGAAAAGTGTTCCTGCCATACATCAAGGGAACCACTGACCGCATAGGGAAGCTGATGAGGAAACACAACATACAAACAATCTACAAACCCACCAAGAAAATCCAACAAATGCTACGTTCAGCAAAGGACAAGAGGGATCCTCTCACCTCTGCAGGAGTCTACCGTATACCATGCAGCTGTGGACAAGTCTACATAGGGACCACCAAACACAGTGCCCAGACACGCATCAAGGAACATGAAAGGCACTGCAGACTACTTCAACCAGAGAAGTCAGCCATAGCAGAGCACCTGATGAACCAGCCTGGACACAGCATATTATTTGAGAACACAGAAATGCTGGACCACACCAACAACCACCATGTCAGACTACACAGAGAAGCCATTGAAATCCACAAGCATGTGGACAATTCAACAGAAAGGAAGAGACCATGAAAATGAACAAAATCTGGCTACCAGTAAAAAACTCTAAAATTACAACAGCAAAACAACAGAGAGGAAAAAACCAGGCACAGATTAACACCTCCCAGCAACAGATTTTCCCAGACTC